TCTTAGCTTTGATGCTGCTAGTAATTCCTGCTCATGTTCTCCTGCAGTAGTGGATCTGTTATCTGGTTCTGAATCTTCTGAATCTCACCTGTATGAACAGAGAAACCGAAGAAAAGCGTGAGTTTAATGGACAAATACCACAGGAGCGCAAAATAGTTTTATTTCACTAAACTTCAGACTCACATTCAGTCTGAATCCCTCTGTGTGTTCCTCTGTGTGTTCCTCTGTGTGTCCCTCTGAGTTAGAGTAATTAACCCTCATTAGGCTTCATCCCTCCGCTGAAGGGGTTCATGTTTAATCTGAGCTGTAAATATAAAGCTGTAATAAAAGGAGACTTACTGTAAGAGGAAACTCCATCCAGCACTAGAAGAAGAAGAAGAAGGAGGAGATGTAGAGAGGGAGTCTGTGCTGAAATCCTCCTAGTATTAACTCTCATATCCCTCTTCAGGTGAAGGTGTGTGGAAATGAACAGCAGATCAATGGCGCAGAAACGATCCAGAAACATTCCACTGTACTGAACTCTCACCGCTGAGTGTGTGCTTATTTATTACTGTGTGTTGCCCTGACCCGCCCCCGTCCCTCCCTGCCCTGTCCTGCCCTGCCTTACCTTGCCTTGCCCTGATGTAATCTTGTCTTGTTTTCACCTCCAGAACAAGTTAAGTCAGTTGACGTTATGAAGAATGTGACGACATTCAGAGAGATTTGTTCTCAGTTTACAGGGAACACATTGTTTTATATCTGATCTCATTATTTACAGCTTCGAGGACACAGACTGAACCGGCTTTATCCCAGTGTGGATAAATCTGGGCTTTAAGTTGCGTTTGGGTTCCCACCTACCCGAGATACTAGGTAATATTTTTATAGGTATGTCTATCCAGTAGACCCTTAAAAGTACTTTTCAGTCATTAGTAGGCTAGTCCCAAACTAACGCAGTAGAAGAGTAGAGCTGATCATGGAGATCAGGGGTTTTTGTCGAAGTGCTGCTCTACTCTGACGAGCCCATACGTGGACGTTGATGCTTTGAATTGTAGTTCTTAAAATAAATACTAATCTAAAGAGTGAGAATTTTCGGAAGACTCCAAGTCTTTGAGTTTTTACGGATCACCTGTTTCGGTTTATTAACTCAGAATGAAGGACAACTTCTGGACACGAGGGTCACCAGTTGTATTCCGATAGTTCTTACAATTACAGTTACGCACTCAAACAATTACAGTAGTATAATCATAATCTATACTTTAACCCTAATACAGAAAACAGACTGTTATACATCTGTAGAAAATCAATGCTTTCATTACAGCTTAAAGAACGCATGTCTTCACCTCGAGATTCGGCCATCGAATGCTCTTCCTCTGCTGCTTTTATCCTCTATGCTCTAAGTTGTGTGGTGGTGATGCCTTCAGCTAAGACCACATCCTAGTGGTTTACCTGCTCACGGTAGACGACTCTCACTGAGAACCACTAACTAAACTTCCTTTAGTTACAACGTCTCGTTATAGCAGCTATGAACATTTGTTCCCTCACTAGAGATGTGAAATCTCCTTTATTAATCATGTATTTAAAACACACACACACACCTACACACACAGACACACACACACACCTACACACACACACACACACACTCATTCACTCACACACACACACACACACACATACATACTCCATAATACATACACGCGCTCCAGAATATATACACACTCCAGATTGTACACACACAGCTCCAGAATACACACAGCAAAATATATTATATATACACATTTCAGGTTATACACAAACACACTCCAGAATATATACACACACATACACACACACACACACACACACACAAAAAAAAAATATGCACACACACATACATTGCGCAACTCACCTGGAATCTCAACGAGAACAAGTCTGCACATAGCAGATGGACAGGTAGAGACACACCCTTCAACAACAATACACTCACAATCCTCCTCTTACTGACTGCATTTCCTTTTCTCACACACACACACACACACACTCACACACACTTACACACACACACACACTCCACACACTCACACTTACACACACTCACACACTCACACACACACTCACACACACACACACACACACACACACACACACACACACACACACTCACACACACTGAGAGGTGAGTTTTCCACAGTGAGACTCTGACCCTTGACCTTCAGCTCGTACTAATCAAAGCCGTGAACTCCTCTGGGCTGTGTTTGGAGTTTCTTTACACACCCAGACCAGGAATGTGTAGAGGTGTGCACACTTCATGAGGACGCATGAAGTTTTAGTCTTAAACCATCCAAAAGCTATGTACACTATGTACCATGCACCACGTGACATTACATTATTTTACACTGTACTGTTCAACTACTACATACAATACATTATAAATCATTTAGAGAAGCACAACCCCCCTGTGTGTCCCACAACCTGTAGCATTACTTGCACCACCTACTGATTGAGAACTTACAGAAACAGAAGCACTTACATCACAAATATCTTACCTGAAGCAGGATTTGAACCTGGTTCCTTCTGTCGAGAGCAGTCCAGACTTTTCCCACTGAACCATCAGACAAGCTTTTCTTTTACTTTGTAAATAATGGAACACACAAAACCTTCACCACCATCTCACCAAGGAGAATCAGGACTCGAACCCCACCATCTCCGCTCCCACCACAGACACCAACACAGGTCCTTCACACCAAGCCACGCACCAGCTGACCATGTCGCAGCTTTTTGGGGGGGTTTATCTTCTGCTTTGTTCATTACGGTACACACACCACACACACCAGCCAGGATGCAGATGCCACATTTTCCCCAGCAGACACCAACAGAGGTTCTAGGTGTTGAGTCTCACACAGTCACACGTGAGCTACTTTTTTCTTGAGTTTATATCTCAGTGTTAAAAATGAACACACCGCGCCTTCAGCTTTAACGGAGTTAAAAGATCAACTGAGTCCCATGACCCTTGAACCCCAGGCTTGTTGAGACCGGTTGTTGAGACCGGTAGCGCTGAGATTTTTAATCAGATAAGCCAGCAGTCCTGGAAGTTTCTCTTTCTCTTTACAGCATCTCTAGCAAGATAAATGACATTGAAAGCCTCAGCTGAAAGAACCACAGCCTCGATCACGGGTTTCCAAAAACACCCGGACGGAAGCAGGTGAGCCAACGGCCCCCTTCTTCAATCCTAATAATAACAATCTGAAGTGCAGTCCTGAACCTGGAGCTGAACTCTGACCTTCAGCACCTGAACCCGGACTTGAACTCTTAAATATCCAGCGTCACCACTGCTGGAAGAATGAACATTCATGTAAAGAGGTGTACTCTTCAGCAGTTTACAAACTGATTGGTTTATAAAGAAGAACCCAAATCTGGAGGCATCGGTGCTCAAGCCGACGTTCTCGGTCCAGCCCCGCGTGAGATGGGGGCTAAAACTTTGATATCTCCAGTGTAGTAGAAATACATAAAGTTGATTAAGTGTGTGCGTATGTGTGTCTTATGAGCTGCCTTTTAGACAAAGTAGGCGGAGCTTGTTGTGGATAAAATCAACCTTTCTAGCCTAAGTCAAAAACTTCAAAGACAGAGTTTAGTAGATGTCAAAAGAATCTCCCTTCCCTTAACTAATCATTCATATCTATATGATACCCCACCATTGTGGTGCATGCACAGCCAGGTGTATGTTCTTCAAAGTTCTTACCAGAACTGGGTTCTCCATCATGTCACATAATTCATCCCATAGCCTCATCTTGGTACTTCCCTGAACTCTTATCTCTTTTTATCTTACTGATTTGCAAGCACGGGGGGAATTTCAGAAACCCAACTCTGGAATGTGTCTAATTTACTGCCACAAAGTGAAGCTGCGTTTAAACAAACACAAGCTCTTAATTTACTTCTACAGCGTGAATCTGCTTTAGACATCCCCATAGCACCTCATTTACACACTTAGAAGTGAAACTGAGTTTAGACAAACACAGACTCTTACTTTACCCACCTAGGAGAACACACATGTTGGAAGTGTCTTATAGCTTTAGATTAGACACAGAAAGTAACTAGGCCCACTGTTCAGTAAGGCACAGAATTCTTCTACTCAACCCACACTCAGAATAGAACTTGATCAACCATCGTTCTATGGATTTAGATGATGCTTCTAACTATTGATTATACATATAGATTATGCTTTTTAACCCATACACATTATTTGATTATACTTTAAGTAGTAATTCTAAATGCAGGTTACATATTGAATCCTCTTCATTAACATATCCAGAAGTGATTTATACATATTGATCACACGTCATAGATATTTTCTTATACATATTTTCAATATATTTTCTATAAGCTAAGTAGAGTCAGTGTTGTAGATGTAATAAGTAAGCGTGTGTGTGTGTGTGTGTGTGTGTGTGTGTGTGTGTGTGTGTGTGTGTGTGTGTGTGTGTGTGCTGATGGATCTAAAGCTGATGTGTGTGTGTATACAGACATTAGAACTCCTTTACAGGGAGTGTGTTCACTGCTGAGGATGAGGATGAGGAGGAGGATGAGGAGGAGGAGGATGAGGAGGAGGATGATGAGGATGAGGAGGATGAGGAGGAGGAGGAGGAGGATGAAGAGGAGGATGATGAGGATGAGGAGGATGAGGAGGAGGAGGAGGAGGAGGATGAAGAGGAGGATGAGGAGGCCCTCCTGACTTCCTGAGGAGGAATTCTGAAATTAAGGGTTTTTTTCTTTTTGTTCTGTTTTTTCAGGTCAAAGGTCAAACATTATGAGTTACGAGTTTTAGTCAGCTGCAGAACCCAAACTGAAGAGAATAAGAACATGATGTATCTAACATTCTATTATTATTATTATTATTATTACAGATGTAGAAATACTTTTGGGGAGAAAAGACATACTGCACCTTTAAGTCTAAAAGAAGCTTTTTTTTTTTTTTTTTTTTTTTTTTTTACTTCAATCAGAATATTAACGTAATCACATTATTTACTTAATCAGAATATTATCTTAAT